TAAAGTCATGCAATGTGAATGTCCCGGTCGCCGATCCATCTTGCAGTGTAAACAAAGCAGCGACAAAACGCTAGCCCAGATAGTCATGCAGTGTGAAAACATCTGTGACACGACTACTGTGAAAATCATGCAGTCTGAACTCGGCATTAGAGTCAACCATGTATACAGCCTTTTTGATTACCTTAATTCGACTAAAGTCAAAGTGAAGTGCAGTACAGGCATGTAAACATCACAACCAAACCATTTTTCAGTACTTTCACTATAATTTGCGACCAGACGCACACAAGGCAGCTGTCACGCGTTTGACAACAAACAAATGATAATGGCTTCAAGCAAGAGAGCACATTTTTGGTCAGAGCGGGAAACGACGACTGTGCTCTCATTGGTTACCTCCGAGTTTGAATGAAAAGTTAGTGAATTAAATGGCAAAGGTGGCCGTCTTCTTGAGAATTTGTATCCACAGCCATCTGTTTTGTACACAAAGTGTGAGGAATTACCTGCAGTTGAACAAAATTAAAAACGAAAGCCCAAAATCAGATATGGTGCCATGATGAACATCAACCGATGTTGTGTGAAACGTTAGAGGAAACTAGAGTTGAATGGTGACGTAATGACATTAATCAAACTATGTACTATAATATAAAATATAAAAGGAACATTCAAAAAGCACCTCATGTAAACACCATAATCATTATTGTCTTATCATGGTTCCCATTTTTTCATGGACACCAAATACATCAGTTTTTAACACCCCCAGCATATATAGCACCATGAAAGACCTTCCCGTACTTAACAATTAACTTACACTTAATATTTACATTCAAATGTCATAATTATTGCAACAGAGACTAGCTAGCGAAGTGCTATGCAGGTAAACCTCACTCCTCTGACCTCAAAAGGTGCTTTGGCGACAAGAAGCCATAATCTTTAGCCTTCTTGTTAGAGCAACAAACTTACATACAAAGAATCGTTAGTTTGATCCCAGCTCAGACCGGGTTGGGTGCCGTAGGACCGGTGGGTTACATGTGGGGGCTCGTCCGGGATGGGAGTGAGGTTTAGGGGCGTGAGTGTAACGGAGGCAAGCTAGCAAAGTGCAATGCAGGTAAACCTCACTCCTCTGACCTCTAAAGGTGCTTTGGCGACAAGAAGCCATGGTTTTTAGCTTCCTTGTCAGAGCAACCGACTCCCATATAAAGAATTGCCGATTAAAGAACATAGAACATGTAAACATAGTCATTGAGTGAGAGGTGAAACTAAAGGCTTACGGCGGGTTGTCGCATTTCCTCTGTCGAAAGCGTGCTCCTGTGCCACACGTCCGGCTGCACATGCTCCACGTGCTCCAGGGACTCCAGTCTCCATCCACATGCTGCGGGATTGGCGTCTTACTGACACACTCACCGGCCCGGCACCACTAATAAACACACACACACACACACACACACACAAACACACACACACACACCAAATGAAAAATGAACATTTGCTGTTAATTTACTCATCCTCAAGTCATCCAACATAACACCATGAAGTCATTTTGCAAGACTTTTCTCACTGAATTCAATTAAGTTGGTTTTATGAAATCACAATCTTATGAAATGAAATAACCACATTATTGATTGTAAAATTGTATTGACAGTCTTGCCTTAAAAGCAACAAGTTGATTTTACTTTAAACGAAGTCAGTCAACTTGTATAATTATGCACAAAGTTGCTTTACTTGATAGTTATAAGGCATCGAGTTCACTCTTTTTTTAAGTAAAGTCAACCAGTGTTTCCTCTAGGATTTTTTTCAGCTGTGGCAGCAGACTCTGTTGGCCATTTTACACAGATCTACCACTACATGTGGCGTTATTGCACTGACAAATGTCATGGGCGCAGTATTAAGTCAAGTTCGCATTCATGTAATAGCCTACGAGCATGTCTGTAGCGCAGGGAGTGACACAAACAACTGAAGTTTGGATCCACGTGCAGGTTTATTAGAATTGTCAGGCAAGCAAAGGTCAATTCAGGTGCAAACAGATATATGCAGACAATCTAGAATCGTAGTCATATAATAAGCAAGGAGGTCAGAAGGCAGGCGGCAAACAAGGACAAAAGGATAAGCTAGGCTAAGAATCAAAAACACAACAAAGGCAGACAAAGGAAACCGCGTATCAGTAAACAAGACTCGGCAACAGTGAGTGTTTCTGTGCTGTTTATGTAGTGCAGTAATCAGTCTAGAAGCAGCATCAGCTGTGGGAGTCTAATCAGTGGAGACTTGGAGCAGGTGTGTGTGTGTGTGTGTGTGTGGCATGACTGAATATTTAGTCCATTTAGAAGCAGATTTGTAGTCCTATGTGTGTGAGCAGGGCTGGACTGGGGCAAAAAATCGGCCCTGGCATTTTGGGCCAGAGCCGCCCACTAAATTAAATCAAAATGCAATCTATCTATGCACATCCAATATTTTTATCAACTCATATTCTATAAAACACAAAAGCCATATATATGAAATAAATAAATAAATAAATACAAACTTTAATCTCAATTTAATTTCTGTATACTGTCCATAAAGATATTTGTTGAGTTCTAAAAAATACACTATTCATTTATTTATTTTTCTTCGCATTAGTCCCTTATTTATCAGGGGTTGCCGCAGTGGAATGAACTGCCAACTATTCCAGCATGTTTTATGCAGCAGATGCCTTTCCAGCCACAACCCAATATTGGAAATCACCCATACACACTCATTCACACACACTCATACTCTACAGCCGATTTAGCTTATTCAATACACTATTCACTCAGCCTATATTCAATAATAAACATAACAAAAAACTGCCTGCTAATGCATGGGTAAATCTTCAAAGGGAACAGTGTACTTTATAACCTCTTTCACCTCTTTTACCTCATCCTCATCTAAACAATGAAAACATAATATAAGTCAAATTTGTTTAATTTTGATATTATGATTAACAGACACCAAACAGCCTCGTGTAGCGGCATATTTATATGAGCATCATCTCCACTCTGCATATTTATAACAAAGCAGGGCTTAAATATAACTGCCTCCTTTCATTTCCATTGAAAAGAATTAACTTTACCCTTTCTCTTTTGCAGAATATCATTTTTAATTACCAATAATGGCCATTATAACAGTATACTTACATTAAATTTAAACGATAAAGGTAAGCAATCAGTCAATGTGCAGAATCAGTGTATGTGGTTACATAAATGAATATATTAGCTTATCTTTGCACTCAGCCAAAACAGTTAACTGAGAACAAGTGATTCAAAAGACATAAGAATTGTTAGATAGAGACAACAAGATGAATTCAATATCACGTTTAACAACTATAGTGAGATAAGATCATCCAGCAGATGAACTGTCTGACATGCACTACACTCTCACCTGGGGTTTATGCTCACCCGCTGAACTACTGGCTCTTGGCAGAGAGTGGGCATGTGTGTGGTCACGTGACTTGCACTTTTAGCCGTGTACTAGAATGAACGGAGAACTATACAGAACCGCTAAATGAAACGCCCGTGTATTTCCTGCGATTTCTCTGCGCCTCCCTTGCGTTTTTTCTCTCTGACTCTCAACTATTTTGACAAATACACACAGACGATGCACGCTCACACGGAGTCCAAAATAGGAGTTTGTGATTGGACCAGTCCAACGTCAATACCGAAAAGAGCCAATGGGCTGCAGAGTGTCACATGGGCCGGCCCGGTCTGTCTGTCCGGGAAAAAAGCATCTCACTTTCAAAGAGTCACAGATCACAGCAGCGTCAATTAATAAGGCAGAAAAAAACGATAGGCTGTTACGCCTTTTATGGGCCGATCAGATCATAAAGTACGTCGGCCCACCGGGAAAGTGCCCGCTCTGCCAGATGGCCAGTCCGCCCCTGTGTGTGAGTGTTTACCAGCGACCTCTGGTGGTTAGATCGCTGGTGATCGTAACAATGTCAATATCTCTGCTTGAGCCCAGATTTCCTCTGTTCGTGCACAAAACTTCTTGCGCGCACTCAAATATACGGTGCTCAAGTGCAGATTTTCTTGCGCGCCCTTAAATAAACACGACTGAAGTGTGATTTAGTGCGTTTATGTACCGAGTATGTCTCAAACATTTATTGGATTTGCTAGGAATATTTATGAATGTCTCCGATAGACTTGCTAAGCGGACCACAGCATTAATGCGTCCTGAAGTAAAACGGCTATAAACTCCAGCAAGATATAGTCATTATACATACTTAGCTAACATACTTAGCCACGCCCCTCCAACTGTCAGCGTTGACAACAAATGAAAATGTTGAGGGGGAAGAGGAGTCTGTTAGGTTGAAATAACTCTCCTAAAACCATTTTCCCCATCTTTCTGAATGAAATTCCAACCTTACTACATCCAATCAGCTCGCAGCCAAAAAACAAGCCACACCCACAGTTTATCATATAATATTCCCTTTCTGTAGGAACTGCCTCACATTATGGAAAAAAAAAGTCGCAGCTTCTGCTTCATGAAGACTTACAATGTGTGCTAAAATAAAAATATTTTGATTTTATGCAGATTTTAATCTTCTAATAAAGAAAAATGTGACATCTTGGATGGCCTGAGAGCATGTGCACACTGAATTCCAGCTGGTCGTCCCTCTCACATTTTTTTGCATTTTAACACCTTGCCCACATCTGCAAATTTCTCTCATTATAATAAACGAAACAGTCTGACCGTTTTCTGACCTGCTGCGCAGCTCCTTCACCCACATTACTGTCAGCTAACACCACTGTAATATTGTCCATTTGAAAAATGTTACAGATAATCGGGTTACCTTATCAGCTCCGCATTCTGTGCCGTCCAGCGGAGGATCTAGTTTGGTCTTGCATGACGTGTCTCCTTCCACTAAACACCAGAGACCAGCGCACATCAGGTGCTGAAACAACAGAATAGAGTAGACTTATCTGCATGTGTTATGAAACAGAATATCAATCCTGCAGCTCAAACAATAAAGGCCAAGGCCATCACGACCATTCCCTGGGGAAATCCCACATGGAAAGAAACTATATGAGGACATATGTGTATATATGACACCTATATGCAGTATATATGCACATATATGATAATATATACACTGCATTTATGTGTATATATGCCACATATAGGCAATATTGAGGTGCATATATGTGCATATACAGGCCAAATAGGTCTCCTGTGTAGCTTCTTCATATCAACATATAAGCCCTGTATGTTCTACATGATATGTCTCCTATATAGCTCATATCTGTCAGGGTTGGTGAGGGGAAATGGGGAAAAAGGAGCGAGGACTCAAGTGCAGAATAAATGGGAATTTATTAAATAATAAAAATAAAATAAAATGCAAAATAAACTACCCCGAGGGGGAAAACATTAACAAAACAAATACATACAAACAGGACTGGGCAGGCTGGCAACGATGATAACTGGAAACATGACAAGACAAGGGTTTAAACAACAACATGTGATGACGAACTGGCACAGGACAGCAAATGTGAGGGGTATATAAACTGTAGAAAATTAACACAAACAGGTGAACACAATTAACTAATAATGGGTTAACAAGGAGGGTGGGACAAGACAATAGACGGGAGAGCGCATGACACAGAGAGACACACAAGCCATGCGCTCACTTAACAGGACAAGAACATGCAGCCAATGAGAGAACTCATTAACCGCATGTTCATGACAACAAACAACACTGAAACACACGACAAAAGCACGTGACCACAATGTAAACACCAAGCCACGTGCTTTGACAAGAGACGCAAGACACGAGCACACGATAGATAAACACCTTACCGTGCGCTCACACATAAGCAACGCGCATGCTTCATCTCAGCGCCAACCAAAACTGAAACCAACTAGACGGAGGCGCCGAGAATAAAGCAGCGCGCTGCTGACAGAACAAACACAAACACTAGTACAAGAGCGCGCGCGTCTGAGGGACGCAGAGCGTGCGCGGCCACATCAAGTGGCAGCGCGCACACTCTGCGTACACCCACGACGGCGCGCGCGCGCACACAGAGACAGAAACAGGACCAGACATGGAGGAGTAGTGTCAGAGCTCTGCCACCAAAACAAGAATTTACAAGACCAAAGTGGCAGAACCCTGACACTAGCCCCCCCCAAAAGGGACGCCACCTGGCGTCCCTAAAGGGAACATCCAACAAGGTACAAGACAGACAAGAAAACAAAACAGGCAACATCAACAGACACAAGACAGGGAGGTGAACAGGCAAGACGACATGAAGGGGGGGAGGGAGGGAAGCCAAGCCAGACCCAAAACGACAAACAAGGGAGGATCAGTCCAGGGTGGGACCGGAGGAACTGTCCAGGGTGGGTCCAGCGGGTCGAGAGCTCTAGCAGGGAACCAGGGTGGAGCCGGAGGGTCCGTCCAGGGTGGAGGAAAGGAACACCAGGGAGGGGCAGGAGGGACGACCCAGGGAGTGTCTATGAGGGGAAACAAGACCAGAGGTCTGTGGGGGGCCGGCAGGGCAAGGAGCCGGGCTGGGACCGGCAGGGCTAGACGTCTGGTAGGTGCCGGCAGGGAAAGGAGCCGGGCTGGGGCCGGCAGGGCTAGACGTCTGGGTGGTGCCGGCAGGGAAAGACGTCTGGGTGGTGCCGGCAGGGCAAGGATCCGGGCTGGGGCCGGCAGGGCAAAAAGCAGGGCTGGGGCCGGCAGGGCTAAACGTCTGGTAGGTGCCGGCAGGGAAAGACGTCTGGGTGGTGCCGGCAGGGCAAGGAGCCGGGCTGGGGCCGGCTGGGCAAGACGTCTGGGTGATACCGGCAGGGCAAGGAGCCGGGCTGGGGCCGGCAGGGCTAAACGTCTGGTAGGTGCCGGCAGGGCAAGGAGCCGGGCTGGGGCCGGCAGGGCTAAACGTCTGGTAGGTGCCGGCAGGGCAAGGAGCCGGGCTGGGGCCGGCAGGGTTAAACGTCTGGTAGGTGCCGGCAGGGAAAGGAGCCGGGGTGGGGCCGGCAGGGCTAGACGTCTGGGTGGTGCCGGCAGGGAAAGACGTCTGGCTGGTGCCGGCAGGGCAAGGAGCCGGGCTGGGGCCGGCAGGGAAAGACGTCTGGGTGGTGCCGGCAGTGCAAGGAGCCGGACTGGGACCGGCACTGAGCGGTGCTCAGGGGCTGGAGCCGACACTGGAGGGCGCTCAGGGGCTGGAGCCGACACTGGAGGGCGCTCAGGGGCTGGAGCCGACACTGGAGGGCGCTCTGGGGCTGGAGCCGACACTGGAGGGCGCTCAGGGGCTGGAGCCGACACTGGAGGGCGCTCAGGGGCTGGAGCCGACACTGGAGGGCGCTCAGGGGCTGGAGCCGACACTGGAGGGCGCTCAGGGGCTGGAGCCGACACTGGAGGGCGCTCAGGGGCTGGAGCCGACACTGGAGGGCGCTCAGGGGCTGGAGCCGACACTGGAGGGCGCTCAGGGGCTGGAGCCGACACTGGAGGAGAGGCCTTTCTCTTCCGCCTCCGCTTTTGGGTGCGGGTTAACCCTTGGGGGGAGGACATGGACTGGGAGATGGTGCTGGTGGTGGTGCTGAGAGGGGTCCATTCCCCCTCCAGGATCTCCCTCTCCATCCTCAGACAGGAATAGTCCACCACCTCCCAATACGTCCATGTCCCGATATCACCCAGCTCCTCCCAATCGAATGGCTCATCCAATCCAGCCAGAAAGATGTGGATGAGGGTGGTCTCACTGAACCCAAGCCCCCGGACTGCCTCGAGAAGATCCTCGGCATAGATGCCAAAGGGGCGATGGTTCTGCCTGTGAGACAGTCCTCTGGCTGGGGGTTGGTCGATGGGTCCTTCTTGCTGGGAGCAAGCTGGGCGCAGAAATAGTCCCATTTCCGCTGAGTCCTCTAATTTGGCCAGTTCGTTCTGTCAGGGTTGGTGAGGGGAAATGGGGAAAAAGGAGCGAGGACTCAAGTGCAGAATAAATGGGAATTTATTAAATAATAAAAATAAAATAAAATGCAAAATAAACTACCCGAGGGGGAAAACATTAACAAAACAAATACATACAAACAGGACTGGGCAGGCTGGCAACGATGATAACTGGAAACATGACAAGACAAGGGTTTAAACAACAACATGTGATGACGAACTGGCACAGGACAGCAAATGTGAGGGGTATATAAACTGTAGAAAATTAACACAAACAGGTGAACACAATTAACTAATAATGGGTTAACAAGGAGGGTGGGACAAGACAATAGACGGGAGAGCGCATGACACAGAGAGACACACAAGCCATGCGCTCACTTAACAGGACAAGAACATGCAGCCAATGAGAGAACTCATTAACCGCATGTTCATGACAACAAACAACACTGAAACACACGACAAAAGCACGTGACCACAATGTAAACACCAAGCCACGTGCTTTGACAAGAGACGCAAGACACGAGCACACGATAGATAAACACCTTACCGTGCGCTCACACATAAGCAACGCGCATGCTTCATCTCAGCGCCAACCAAAACTGAAACCAACTAGACGGAGGCGCCGAGAATAAAGCAGCGCGCTGCTGACAGAACAAACACAAACACTAGTACAAGAGCGCGCGCGTCTGAGGGACGCAGAGCGTGCGCGGCCACATCAAGTGGCAGCGCGCACACTCTGCGTACACCCACGACGGCGCGCGCGCGCACACAGAGACAGAAACAGGACCAGACATGGAGGAGTAGTGTCAGAGCTCTGCCACCAAAACAAGAATTTACAAGACCAAAGTGGCAGAACCCTGACAATATCTCGCTTTGGCAACGGTCATGATGTCTTGACTAGGTCATACTGCCTATTATCAAGGCAATAACTAAGAACTAACTTAAACAAGTGCAAAAAAAACATATGCATGTTCCATTTAAATTTGGTGTTACTTGTAATTGGCATGTTATGGATTTTAACTATGGCAAATAAGTATGAGGAGGAGATGGAAAGCTAAGATGTCTACACGTTTTCCTGAAACATTTACAAGGTCAATAGGGTAAATGCCGAAGCATGCTAATAGGACTTTTAATTTGCCAGTAACCTGGGTTGAGCAATTCCGGCGAGCTGTATGCCAATGCAAAAACCGGCACGTTTAAGGTCTGTTTTCTTTAAAAATCAGCGATCTCCACTGGCTGAGTGATATCCGATATAAAGTGGGTCTCAGATTGTACAAGAAGCACTGCATTAAATTACATTTCCCCTCGCCATGTCTTTATAATATGAGCATTTATTTTACCCCAGTATATTCAATAGAGCTTCTGCGCTAGCCTGCCGATTCTAATGGGCGCATGCGAGTAAACAGCTTTTTGTCTCGTTTTAGGTTTGAGCAACTAAATGAATCCCAAAGTTTATTTAACTGAATGTATTTTAATGACATTACAACATCGATACTGTAAAAGGAATCATATAAAATGAAAAAAAGTTCACAATAACAGGTCACCAGAAATTTATCAGTATGGGAAAAACACTAGCTCTGCATACACCCTATTCTTTCTTATATGAAGAAGTGAAAAAGAAAGACATATAACACAATGGTTAGTCTTTTTTTCTTCTTTCCTTTATTGTTGTTTATTCTCTTATTTTTGTTCTTGTACTATATTTATTTCTTGTACTATTTAAGTAAATAAAAAATATATATATATTTTTAAATAATGTTGTCTAGCAGCTGTATTTTTAATAATTTTACTAACATATAGGTGGATACCCATATATGTAGATATAATATAGGAAAACGGCCAATTTTATATATGTCACATATATCAGAAACCTATCTCAAAACCTATATTAAAACAAATATGTTTATAGGTTCTTTCCATGTGGGATGGTAAAAGATGTAACTTCAATCCAGTGTAAGTCACTTTAGATCATTGGTCTCAAGCTTAGTTCCTGGAGGGCTGCATCTCTGCAC